AATAATAATAATAATAATAATAATAATAATAATAATAATAATAATAATAATAATAATAATAATAATAATATATAATAGATGTTTCGACTCAACAAGAACAACCTAGTTGGAATCTGTATCAATGGGCTAATTATTTTGATGGCCCAAAGCGAGATCAAGTTTTGAATGTTATAAGCTTAGAGATTAGTGGAACTCCTTTAGGTGATTCTATAGTTCGGCCACGAATTGTAAGGTATGTTAATAATATTGTTCGAATAAAACAGATTAAAAAAAAAAAGTAATTAAACAAATACACAGATACACACATCACATAGATATATACATAGATATATATACATAGAAATATACATAGATACATATATACATAGATATGTACATAGACACATATATACATAGATACATATATACGTGGACATACATATAGGTACAAAACATGCATAAAAAAAGGACAATTGGGTATTACATTATCCTCATAAAAGCTTGCGTTGTCTTCCCAGCTTATAATGTTTCCGGTTTCTCCTTGGTAAAAATGTTCTCATCTCCACAGAGAGCTCGACTGGTGCGAACACGTATGGCCTAAAGAATTAAAAGCATTTGAATATCCCAAGGTTCAACTTTATTGTCTTATGAGTATCAAAGATAGCTTTACAGATTTTCACATCGATTTCGGTGGAACGTCCGTCTTTTACCATGTTATCAAAGGATCCAAAATATTTTATTTCGTTAGACCTACTCCACCAAACTTGAAAAAATATTCAAGATGGATATCTTCACCAGAACAATCCATGACTTTTTTTGCCGATTTGGTTAAAGATTGTTACGAAGTGCGCATTTGTGCTGGTAACACCATGCAAGTATTATTATTATTAAAATTTTCTTTCATAATTATAAACTATGTAATAAATTCTTTCATGATTGTATTATATATAATAAATTTTTTTAATCATATGTTTAATATAATATTAGGATAATTCCAACAGGATGGATTCATGCTGTATATACACCCGAAGATGCAATAGTTATAGGTGGGAATTTCTTACATGGATATAATATCGGAGGGCAATTAGCAATTTATGAGATAGAAAAACGCGTAGATGTTCCAACAAAATATCGCTTCCCTTATTTTGAAAAAATTTGTTGGTTTGCTGGAAAGAAATATTATAAGATTCTTAAAGGTAATAATAATAATAATTTATGAATTTATGAATTTTTGAATTTTTGAATTTATGAAAATTTCTAATTTTAATTATTATAATATTCGCATAATTGATATTATTCCTTATTTTAGAAAATCCTGATTCTTTGTCACAAAGAGAAGAGAAAGGATTGGTTGAATTGGCATTATTTTTGTCAAAATTATCTAGTAAACTTGAACGTAATAGTAAAATTTCTTCTGAAGAAAGGCAATCAATCAAAGAAAATATTCCGGCTGAAGTTCGTGATCCTGCAAAATTATCACGAAGATTGAGTAGGCGAATTAATAAACATATTAGCAGATATAGTGAAGAAACTGATACACAATTGGATTCAACTTCAAAAAATCATTATGAACTTCACGATATTTGTGCTGATGAACGATCAGCTTCATCGCCTGAATCAAGGTTGAACGCTCCAACAAAGATTAGATTGAAAATTGTTAGCAAAAAACGTAATATCGATGATGTAAATATAAAAGAGTCAGAAGATATTAAGGATGTTAATGAAATGGATGATAATATGATTGAATCCGTCAATGAACATCAATCAAAACGTATGCATTTAAGTTCTTCTCAAGCTAATGATATTGATGGTTTGTATGGCGGTAAACAGGATGATTCACCTTTAACTCCACAAAGTGGAAGTACTATATCGTGGCATGAAGAGGATAAATATTTTAGGGAATTATAAAATTACTAGCAAATAAATTAATTTTTTTTTTTTTTTGCGACTACCTTGAGGTATAAATTATTCGAATTGAATCAAATTATTTCTTGCTTAAAAAAAAAACTTGCTTTTTTCTAATTTGATTGATGAAAAAGAATGTTATTTTACTTTGGATTGGAATTTTTTGTTGACTGCGATTTTCATTAGCTTTGTCA